AGTCATTACTAGTGCAAGATATCAGCGCATCAGTACTCATGATTCTGGTTCTGATGGTTTACTACCTCCGAAGCATCATTGGGATGGAGTTAATTGATGTAATAGTTTAGAATTAATGAGTGAGAGAATATTAGTGAGTCTATCATGTGTATAGCAGTTGAAGTTGGAAATGTTCAACTGTAAGTGCGAATGGGGGATGAAACATGAGGAAAGCATGCGGAGTTCGAGTGAGAAAGACCCGGTTTTTGGGTGTGAATCGAGCACATCATAGCTGAAAACCTAATGAATAATCCTGCAAGCACGTCGGCTCCTCCTCCTCTAACTTTCGCACATTTTTCAACTGCTGCTCTACATCTGTTTCAGTTTTGATCACAAACACAAAAATCTCTGTTCATTATTCGAGTTGGTTGATTAGTTCAGTGTGAAGAAATTGTTTGTGTTCAGTGGTTTCAATTCAACTAATGTCCACTGCTATTATCCATAACCTTATCGCACCCATTTCTGATCGCTGTCAATTGTTCTTATTATCAGTCCAGTTACTTCGACTGACATCCTCACTGACGATTTCTTCTAAATTCTTTCAAATCCTATCCGAATATGCTCGTAGAAACTGCCACGAATCATTCACCGTATATCGTTGTTGTTGTTGAATCTCAGTGCGCTCAGCAGCAAAACCAAAGTAAGTAAAAACTTTGTTTGTTTGTTTGTTTTTTTCAATCGATTGCTGAGTTGGGAATGAGTCATAAAATTTTTGAACTGAATCACTTTCATTATAATCTTCAACTGATCCATCCTCGTTGGTTGGTGTTTGTTTGACAGTCTCACCGAGCACGCACGCTTATTTACAATAGTTACGATTCTTTGCCTTATATAAATAACCTCGTTTGCCCGAACCCGAACAACTGAATTGGAAATTTGTTTCGTTTCGTAGATCGACGAACATTTTCCGTAAGTCTGACAACTGACAGTCCTTTGAAAGTCTTAAGTGGGGCTGATTGTTGCATTCACTCTGATTTGTTTCTTACACTTCAACGAGTTGTTTTATTTTGGAGAATCTGTCTCGCAAAAGCATGTCTCATGCATTGCTTTGCTAATATGTACACATACTGTCAACGATTTGCATTTTTTGCTTGTACAAATGCTGTGGAAGCTTTTGCATTATGCAGGGCATTGGAAGACTTTGAGAAGTGGATGTATGTTGGTGTTGATTCGTTGAAGTGATTCCTTTTCTGCAACTTTCTTTCTATCCACAGCATTATGGTTGCTTTCAAGAAGTTCGTTAAACTCTCCTGAATCCTATCTGCTGTGATATTCAATGCTTGAGTGTTGTAATAGTTTTCACTCTTGAACTCCATCTTATTCTCAGTATAAACTCAACGAAACGTGTTGTAATAACGAGGTTGTTTACGAGTTATGTTTGCTTTATAGTAATGAAATCCTCCGAAAACATTATTTGTATGCAGACATTTTATGACATCACATTATCCTCGTCATCACCACATCTCATTCTTACACTCGCATTAATATTTTCTTATGCAAATTCTGGTCATTGATCAATTATCGATTGTGATCGATCATTCGTTGATCACTTGTCAAGTTTATTGTTGATGTGAAGATAGACGAGATTTTGAGAGATGATCGCTAAATTTCGTCAGCATCTAGCTGAATAATTGCCTCTTTATTAAACTTGATTTGAGTTGTACAATTGTTCCAATTCAAGCAATTAGATTGGATGAGTTTTAGTTTCATTTGAGACTTATCACACACACATCGCTCGATATCCCCACTCTTACATGTTGAGTGTACTTTGCGAACGATTCAAAACGTTCACATTGTGTAATTGTACACTTCAGCGCTTGCGTCAATATTAAATTCTCGGTGAATCTTTCACTGAAGAGGAGTTGAGTTCTGATTTATTTCATTGAAGTTCGTTATTTTGAATCTTATTCGAGAACTTTGAATNCTTTGAATTGTTCAGCGTCATTAAGTGAAAAGCACGTCGTTTCGTTTCAATGATTTTCACTCTTTCTCAGTCATTTGTGATTTCTGAGTCTTAACCTAATCTCATAATCTCTTGCATTCTCTTTGAATTTCTCCGTCATCGTCATTATCTCCCCTCCAAAACATCTCATCTCGAACTAGCTCATTCGTAGATCGCCCACTTTACTCAGGTAAAGCAGTTACATCGTATCAGTTGAATGAACATTTTTTTGCGCTTTATCGTGCACCACAACGATATCTGCGATAAAACGTGATCGCATTCACGAAGCGCTATAATTGCTTGACAGGCTGAGTGAATTTCAACTTGTGCATTTAATTTCAACAAGACTGAGCCTCTTTTTCAGTTATTTAATAGTAGTGAGAATGGAAAGGAAAATTGCAGCGTTTGTGTGATAATGGCTTATCGGCGAGGACGTTAAATGACTGAAAGAAATTTCTTTCTTATCGATTGGTTTTGAAAAGCTTCATTATGCTTATAGCATGCATGATGTGTATGGCATACACACCGATTGCGCATGATGCAAGCTACTTTCAGAGCTGTGACGATTTGAAGTGTGCAATCAGCAGCATATGATGATGTGTTGATGGTGATGCTAATGCAACGATGAACTTGTGATTTGCTATTGTCAGAAATTTTATTTCATCGAGCAGCGCTTTTTTTTTGAAATTCTTAGTCCTCACTGATCTTATTCTACAAACTCTAGTGCATCCTCTAATCTCTCAGCGAGCAGCAAGCAGCTCAACTAGATCAACTAGACTCTCTTATTATTAATGGAATGAAGGGTTTATCTGCGGTCTCGCATAATTCTGTCCCAGCTGTCCTTCTCGAAATCATCAGATCAGTCTAAACAAATTAAAAGTAAATTTTCATATTTAAAATTCTAATATTGTCACCAGAATGATCTCTGTGATTTAGTGACCATATTGGATGTGCTCATGTCATCAAATTATTGGCTATTCGTGAACTGTTTTTTTTGTTGTCAGTGAATCGGCTATTTGATCACTTTCATTGAACTCACAAACTCAGGCTTCTGAATGCGTTCGTTCAGTGTTTGTCAGAATGAATTGCAAAAAACGATGCCTAATCCAACTGTCAAAAATTTTAAAAACGAAAAAACGCGTAGTTGATGAGATACATCATACACCGATCTAGCAGACAGAATGGCGTCATTATACAATAACTGCGGCAATTTTCAATTTCTGTTTGCCTCGAACAGCTCGAAAAATCGATCGAAGAAATATATTTCAATTGAGCGTTTTACATTCTCACGCCGTGCGATTTTGGAATATAATCAGGAAGAAATTTATAAAAATCGTTTCATTTTCTCCGTGCGGTGGTCTGTCTTCACGATTTCACTGTAAATCAAGATGATTTTCATCATTACCCTGAGGAGATCAGCGTGAAACTTCACGAGGATTGACCACGTTGATGCAATGTTCTATGCAAGGAGCGCAGGCAATGCACCTGTTTCTTCAATCGTTCGGAAAGGTTTTCAGTCGTTCTGTGTGCATTACACGGTCTTTCATGCCGGAAAATTCTGATATATTCTCGAACCTCGTCAAAAGAACTGTCGTCGGCTTTGAGGATACTGAAAGCTGCTTCGTGATGGATATTTCCCGAATGCAAATGCTCACTCTTAAAACATTTCATTCATCACATTTGCAGATTATGAACGTGAAATGAGGGAAACATATGAATATACCAAAATCTATCCGATATTAGGAACGGAATCATTTCGCAATAGAATGAAATGATTCATTTGGCCGTATTATGTGTAGATTCACCGAACAGCTGACTGATGCTTGTTGAGTGTGTTGATCTTGTCGCAGCTGATGCCTTAAAGCAAACATCCCATTCTATTGTGCTCGAGCATATTTTCGACAAATATTTTCCATGAAATACTCGACATTTTCCATATCTAACAACAGTCAACTCCATTTGTAGTTTTCTCACTTCCCATTCCAATATTACTCGATCAGTCAAACGGTTATCAGCACAAATACTATCAGTTTCATTTGTTGGAGTATCTGTGGACAGTAAATAGGGAGCAGATAGCAGTTAAGTTCTAATCACAACACACAATCTGTAAGCTGTATGAGACTGATGGAAATCCATGTGTAAGATAGCAATTAAATGAATTGTAGAGTTTAAAAGATAATGCTCACCATGCTTTTTGAAGCTCTTTTGAAAATTCGTTTGCGATTTGATGCTTTTGAAAGTTATCATGTTCTGATCACCTGGAATGTGTGTTGTTTTGAAAGTGCTTTTATGACCGAGTTTTTTTGGTTGACGGCTGATAGAAATTCATTTTTACGATTACCTGTGTTAATGGTTTGTTTTACGGGCGGTTGGGAAGCACATTTGAGGTACTGTTGAGCATCACGAACTTTCATCTTTAGTTCTCGATCTGAAGACGGAAGTGACACAGCATTTTTTGATTTCTCCCTTTTTTGTGATATGCTTCATTTTGTCTGTTATCTGTTCCGCATCAAACCGACACACTTTCAAACATTCAGTTGAAAAAATCACATTCTTTCAGCGTATTCCTGTCTGATTTCAACCTAAACAAATAATTGGCCTCCAAGCGAACATCTGTCTCCATTGTTCGCGCGAATCTTTGCGAGGATAGGAGGAATATTCTTAGTTTTGGTTTATTCTCATATGCAATTTCGAATTCGCTGCTACGAATGCACACGATTGTGGAGAATTTATTTCAATCTTAGCAATGGTTAAAGCCTCTGTAAGGCACGCACGTCTTTATGAAGGGTTCACGTATACGACGAGCTAATATTCACACAATTCGCATTTTCGTGAGCCGTTAATGAAATGTTAGCATAAAGGATTGAAGTATGAAAAATTTCGATATTGATAACAGCGTGAACATTTTGACGCATTTGCAAGGATTAACGAAGTGTTTGACGAATGCACAACTGAAGAAAGGGTTAAGATAGGCTTATGATTACCACCCGCGATTGATGTAGCGTAATCGTTTGTTATTTATGTACAAATTCAAGATGTTCAAGATCAATGGCATAAACAAGCTGCTTGACGATTTTCTCGTCATCAGAGAACGTTCATTACTTTTTGCACAAATCTGAAATGAAAGCAGTTGAATTGGAACGTCTAGCAGACTGAGAATTGCGACTGTAAACTGCTGTTGAGAGAAGTTATCCGTCGTGAGTGCTCAACTGCTGAACTCTCGATTACGTTGTTGACACACTGTAATCGTTAAATTGAAATTCTTGTGGTATGTTGTGATGATTTGAAAAAAAAATCACAAGACAGGAAATATGGACGTGACTCGCACCGTCGAAAAAAATTTATACCATAAAGATTACAAGTATGCATATAGATTGTTGATTGAGAGATTGCAATTTGAGAATTGATACTCTGCATAAACCTTTTAACTAATTCACCAGGATTGATATAAAATGAAGTATTGAACGTTTTGCTGATTACACAGCTGAATTGTTGGGATCGAATTGGTATGTATTTACTCTATCTGTGGCTCAGTCGTACGCTTGGATCATATTAATATTTAAATAATTACGATTGTTTAATGAAGCCAATTTGAGCAATTCCACTCATAGTCAGATCGACTAGTTTTTCGTTTAATTTTTGTTGTGTCATCTTAAACATCTTTGTATGTCGCATTTACTTTGCTAAAGATAATCTGTTTGAATTTATGGATGCATCCACCATACCTGTACCATAAGACAATGAGGTTTTCTCGTTCTTTCGAGGAGAGAGGATCAGTTTCAACCTTTAGTATGAACTAACGAAATCTCTTTCCAGAAGGAAGCCGCTAACATTTTATTTGTTCCCTATGAGATACTAGGGATTAATAAGCATCCATTTTCGCACGCTTAATCGAACGTTCCATCAAAGACAGCGACAATGAAATAGTTTCATAATGTGTTCATTACTGCTTTATGAACAGTGTAAATTCTACGATCCTACGGTTCCTTGAAATAACTTCGTTTGCGTCAGTGCAATCAACTTCACTCAGTAGTCATTCTTCTTCAAACCACATTCTCTCAAATGTTAAGTAATGAATTTTTTGGTTTGACAATGAGGTGGTGATTGCGTTGTGTAGGCGACTGTCTTGAATTCATAGGATCAGTTCGGATTCGACGCCTGTTATTTTGATATTTCATTCAGATAGTGCTTTTAACTTTCTCGGCAGTGATTTCAAGCATTTCGTTTTTCATTTCTCTGTTCTCGCCTCATGCTAAGCTGTTTCGTCGAATTGAATATCCGCTTCTGAAACAACTCAGCCAGCTTATGAGATAATTAATCGATTGTGTGTAGCGCTGGTAACATAATTGTTGACGAATTGATTTGAGAACGATGTGAAATTCTCCAAAAGCATCGAGAAAGGAACATACTCACGTATTAACTTATTTCACGTGCCTTGAATGTGAAATAAGTTAATAAAGTTGATGATCTCTCAAACAATTGAGTGTGAAAATGATGCTAAAATGGTGGTGTTTTAAATGGATGAATTGGTGAATTTAAGGTGCTGTAATCATTTCGATTTTGATTGAGAGTAGAAGATCTGTCTGATTGGTTCACATTGATCGATTCTCTAATAAAATTTCTCATCACGAAGAAATGTTCATTGAATTTGAAGAACTGGGGAACGAACATATTCCGCGTTGTTCGCACAGTCGCAAAGTGCATTTCCCAGAGGACGATACTCAACTCGTCACTGGTTATCACGAAGCACCGACAAACGCTTTTCATTTAAAGCGTTCGTTTTTTTCATTTTTTTTGAATTCGTTTATTCCAAAAAAAANAAAAAAAAACCTTTTCATAAAAATCTTTCATGTTTAATGCAAAAAACCTTTCGAAACGCATCATAATCCATCTCGTTCGACTCATAACCGAAGGAAAATAATTGAGAGTGCTATTTGATGGGGAAATTGAGCGAGATCATTGCATTCATCAGAAATGATCGAACACTAAACCGTATATATGTTCATAAACAGATGGATAATCCTCTTCAATTAATTGAAGAATGATTAGGTTATAATTTTGACGAATGTGATATTCGGTTGAGCTTAGTCTTGATCAGTAGGCCACTGATTAAAAATGTTATTGAATGTTATGGAGATGATCAGGTAATAGATACAAGCCAAATCATAGCCTGGCTCAGGCTCACAATATCAGTGATATTAGTATACCACTCGGTTTCGAGAAAAACTTTCCGGGCGGGTTCGATTCTCGTTCACGGAGGAAAATTTCGCTCGAAACCGAGTGGTGTACCAATATCAGTGATGTTATGGAGGTGATTTATTCAAGCAAGATCGTAGAATTAACACAAACAGTTAATAGGATACATGCGAACTGTTGAGGTGATTGAAATGGTGATAGAGTTAGTGGTTTTTTTGTGCAATGGTTCGGTTGATTTACATTCACCATTGTTAAGGCTGATTAAGCGTTGATTGTTTCAGAATGTCACGATACGATAACGATTGCTGATGCCTATTTGAACGCTTGTAAATTAGCGAACGTTCCGCCGAATTCATCCGTTGAGCACCAAATTGCGGTATGTTTCGTGAAGTTATACATTATGTAAAACAGGACAATTGCTCATTTGTTGTTCATCTAATTCTCATTGTGACGGTGTCCACGTGGTGGTGTACCGAAAATGAACACGTTGATGAACATCACTTATCCCTTTTCTCGTCAGCATATTCGACACATAATACACGTGATGCTTAGAATTTGTTGAGTCCACTAAATTGTGATAATTTCTCCCATAAGCATGATTGTGAAGTGCAATTACTGTATTCAAAAAAGCCATCGAAACATCGATCGCCATAAATATCGCACCATTTATGTACATATTTGGATGTTCATTTCTCGAAGACGTCGTCAGGGTCTCGTTCCTTTCTGACGGGAAACTGCGGGCGCTGAATATTTTATTGGGGTATATTGAAGGATTGAATGAGGACCTTAGAATATGATTAGAAACCGTTGAATTCATCAAAAGAGATGAATTGAAGCCTCTTGTGGCCTTCATCACCACATCATCAGAGCTCTTTTGGGTCTTTTCTCTGTTGTATAATCGAACCTCAATTTTGCTTCACTATCAAATTGATCAATGCACTCGAGAATCTTGATTCTTGACTCGAAACTGAATTGTCGAAATTTCAAATAAATTTCACACACCATAAATTCCTTACAAGTTCGTTCGAATGATGCCATGTGTACACGTCGCGTCGCGCATATACGCAATTTGGAATTGAAAACGATTTTTCACTTTTTTCGGGTGTACTAAGTCTCATTACCAGTTACCGGTTGTAGCGTTTTTGTCGCTTTTACAATTAGTAGCAACTGAATGGAAATTTTTGATTACTAGGAAAGTGAATTTAGTATGTGCTATCACTCAAATTAAATCTGTCTGGTATTGACATCAATAGATCAACAACCATTCAAACTTTTTTTCATGAAAAATGAGCCGAAATCGTTGTCGAAGAGCACACGATTCATCCATCAATTTTGCAACAAAGAAATCGTTCAAAACTTGTCAGTAATATAGAATGTTCTGTCACGTTTAACTTTAACGAGTGAAGAGGAGTTTTTTTTTGGTAATGAATTCAATAAGTTGGTAAAGATGAGATGTTGTTGTTAAGAAAGGGTTTGGGCATTTCAAGCGATCGAACAGCTGTCTCTAAGAAGTGTTTTTGATGCTTTGTTCGATGCTCAACAATCTGACACATCTTCTCGACTAACACAACTGACAGATGATCGATTATGTATGTACTACAAAAATGCTTTGTGATATATTGTTTTATGAATGTTTACTCTCTTATCGTTAGCGCTCGCTCTCAGTTACGTGTGTTGCTTAGGAATTCAGACTGCTTAGGAATTCGAACTGCAAAATGTTTTTCGGTCATGCATTCCATACGTTTGGCGGTTTGTTGAGCAATGGTTGATGTTGTTTGTCGCTTTTTTCCGAGTTCAGATTTCGAATTTTTGCCAGCTCTCCCTGTTTCTGAAGAGTGCACGCCGAAAAAAAGCTACTTCTATGTTCAGAAGTGGTTAACTGCAACGCGAAAGACGCATCGAAACCAATTACAGTGAATATCAGTTCAGTTGAATGCTAAACAATTAGCGTGTACAATTACAGTCATACAATCTCTTTGAAAGAATATATCTTTGATTTGATCGTGAAAACATTTGCCTTCTTTGTATATTTATTTCACTGCAACGAAGTACATTGTTTCCTTCTATTGTTAAGCTGATTCAATAGATCTCTTTTATTCGCCACTCGTTTCCATCTGAATTTTACCAGATTTCAATACGACCATTCAAAAAGTTTTTTTTTGAACATTGACAAAATAAAATTGCTTTTCAAATTCGCTTTTTTCGTTTATTCATTTCAAAATTTTTGCTTTTTTTCCTTCAAAATTTCGACAAGTTCTTTTCAACGTTCAAAATTCTCAGCCACAAACATATCGAATTAATCCGGCGGAAATTTTTCATTCACGCCAAAAACCACCAAAACTGGTTTCTTGCGTTCATCTATTTCTCACACCTTAGCTGCTTGCTTCCTCTTTTTTTTGTTGTGGTTTGGTTTTTTCGCTGTGTTCACATCGCTTTTCATACTTCAGCTGATTGATTGATTTTCCAATTGTGATCATCCTCGAATGAAAAGAATTGCATTCATAACTGTAATCGGTTCGTTTACCAAGAACAAAGTGATCAAGAGCATCAAGCTGAACGACAAGTGTGTAATGATGGAGAGAGAAGATATTTTTGAGGGGATCTCTTTTCGTTCCAAATGAAAGACCAAAGATTACATTCATCCCACAAACGCAACCACAATCAACAACTTGCATCCCAAGATTACATTCATCCCAATCAATTCAATATGAATCCGTCATATATGTCTTCTAAAATCAGTTTCAAAAAACAAACAAAAAAACAACTGACATCATCTTTAAGTGATGAACAACTGACATCGACTGTTTCAATTTTGAGTTCATTTGTCAGTTACAGAAGTATTGAGATGAACGACAATGCACTGAAAGTTCAACCATTCAAAAGATTTAATTCAAGCATTTGTTTATTTGTTCAGCTAATGTTGAATGCAAACGATTTGTTCAATAATCTTCATATGACGAACGCAACTAATGAAATGATGATCAAAGAAGATGAATCATTAAAAAAGTTTACATCAACTCACAATATTGTGAATATTTTTCAGTGCTTTCATCAAATTGTTGGACTTCGTCAAGAATGTCTTTCATTAAAAGGTTCAGTTACTATTTGCATAATCTTGTTTAATGGGATTGTTTTTGGATTTATGTAAATGTTTGTAGAAAATTTTCTCGAACACAAAAATCGAGCAAATGCATAGGCCTGGTGTGTCATATTTTGAGTGTCAATTCAAAAAATTCTCTCATGATTTCACGATCTAATTTCGAATCAAGTTCCATGAAGTCAGCGCACTAAACTCACCACAAGCTGTGTATCTCTGTTTCCATCACAAGTACGAACCACCGTTTCAGGACAACGTCTCTCGCAGGCGCATATGGAATGCCTAGAAGAGATCTTCAAACGAGTACAATTCGATACGCTCGATTTCGAGTATACATTCATCGACGATGATGTTGGTTTTCGAAACGCATCGTCTCTTTTCCTCTTTGTTGATTGCATCATTTCACTGAAACGACGAATCAAATCAAATCCTTGCCACTTAATGCTGAATCGTTTCGGCTCATGGCAATGAAAAGAGACTGAATTATGTCTTGCAACCATTCCATTCAACGAACAATACCCCGTCAGCAATCGAATCATTGATTTCAGGCTGCCGTTAGTCTGGCTGAGATGCTGGAATTTTACGACTCCACAGCAAAACTGAATCTTTCATTCAATAAGCAAATAAACATTCGTGGATGGCAAGCCCTTTTCAGGGCGATCAAAAATGTTAGTGTCACATCAGCAGACTAATAATGTTGGCTGATTGATTCAGTAACTTTTGAAGGCGCTGTAAAAATTCTACTCCTTAAGCCATATTGATAAGCACAAATTGCTAGCAAATCCATCGATTTCAAATGTAATTTTACGGCAATTTGAGAATCAAATCAAATCGAATTTGATGGTTTTGGATTTCGATAGTCCGAAATTGGATAATTTTTCGAGATGAAATTTCAGTGTCATTCGCTACAATTGCTCAATTTGCGCTATACGTCGTTATCGGATAAGGCGGTGCCGTTCCTTGCAAGAACGTTACGAACTCAGTCGACACTCACCACACTGCATCTCGAGAATGTCTCTTTGTCTGGTCGAAACCTCCTCCTTTTGGGTTCGTTTCATCACTTTTTTTTCGAAGGTATCCTCCGACTGCTCATGTGAAGCCTGTTCGATTTGAGAAGCACACTATAAATCCAATTTGTCTGGCTAAACTTATCCAGAAAAAACTCTTCGTAATCTGATGTCAATATCTTTTTTTTCGATCTCGTCGAATTTTTCATTCTATGAAGTCATCATTCAAAACAATCGAAAAAGAAAACCTGATTACTTGAAAATATTATGATTCATTCATTCGGAAGATGGCTCTGATATCTGTTGCACAAAGCGTTAGTGATGACAATGAACTCATTGTTATCACTAACGCTTTGTGCAACAATTTTAGTGATAACAATTTTAGAAATGATAATTAAGTTCAATTCTAGAACTGATAATAAAGTTTAGTTCGGTAAAGATGATATCGTTCATAGGGCCTAACGAATTCTTTGCTGTTTTTGTTTCTCGTTTGACTGTGAAAATAAATTTTGAGCCAACAAATCAAATTATATTCTGAATTTCATTAATCACAAAAACATTGTCATTCGATTGAAGTATGTGCGCTGAAAGTTAACATCGTACTGAAAGAGCTTTATTTGGGTGAGAATAATCTACAGCCAACCGATGGTGCACATCTGTATCAGTTGATCGTTGGCAGTACATCTCTACAGATGCTCGATCTCAGAAATAATCAACTTCAGGTTATTGAGCCATCACATTCCTTTCGTTTTGAGCTTATCGTCGTTTCGGGTAATTTTTTGCCGAATTGTGTGTTATTCGTTATCTTTGCTGATGAAATATTGAATTTAAGGACGGTGGCTTACGTCATTTGTGTGATGCACTTAGAAATAAGGAAACATTGGAGAAGAGTGCGCTGTCGGCACTCGTTCTCTGGAATAATCGCTTGACAAGCGGCAGTATGGATGCTCTTGCTGATGCACTTGTAAGTATATCACTGATTCTGTCATGACTCTTAGCAGTCTCATGCTCAGTTACTATTATCATTGTCATTGTTCACCGCATTCACTTCCGATACCTCAAGTCATATCATTATCTTCTATATATGATCACTTCTTCAAGTTATCATTAATATCAGCATGGTTACTAAATTTTTATCAAACTGCTATGTTATTAGAGTTATTATCACTGTCGTAGGTGTTATCAGTGGATAGCATTGTTATGATTGTGTGTTATGATTGTTATTCTTTATCTTTTTTTGCATAGTTCCGTTCTCATCTTCAGTGAAATTTCAGTTAGAGAATAGTAAATTGGAAACGCTGAATATCGGTAGCAATAACCTATCGGTTGAGGGTATTGTGGCGTTGAAGCGAGCATTACTTGCGAATTCTAGTCTTCAACGACTCGGTCTCCAAGCAACCAATCTCGATTGTCAATGTGAGTTTTACAAATTACTTATGGCACAACAGATTGCTGAGTACTACAACACATTCATTTATGTGTTCAAAAAATCCGAATTTGATATTTTTCCATACATTCAAATCGTGCACCGTCTCACTGCTTTATTGATATGTGGTTTGATTCAATTTCGCCAAGATAGATCGAATGCTTTTTCTAGTTTATTCATATTTTGAACATCTGTTGATTTTATGTCGCAGCAGTTGGAAATCGGCGCTCATAAAAGAGCGATTTCATGAATTTTTACAATCGCTTATCAATTTGATAGATTGAATTCAATGTTATTGATGAATACGAACAGCGCTGATGGTGTGAAAGGAAATCATCTTTAAACAAATGATACTGAAATAAATTATTGCTTGCAAGAAATTACATCTGAAAGTTGAAAGTCTCGAAAAATTTCAAAATGTGAGCAAATACGTTAATGCGTTTGGATAGTGATGAATCAAATTGTGAAAATTTCAATCCGCTGTTGTGAGTTCATACTGCAGTTGTGGTCATGAACATGTCTTTTTCATAATTTTCATGAAGCGCACTTCATTTCAAAAGCCATAAAACATGTGCATCTGCAAGCGGCATTCTGCTTCGCAAAAGCAAGTAACTCAAAATGAGCCAAAGGCTTGCTATTTGTATGCAGTAAGCAAAGGCACAAGTTCGATCCTCATACACAGAATGTGTGTGTGTGTTTGCAATTAACTAATACAATGATGAGG